TACCCGACGATGGAAAACGTTAGGCGCAGTCAATTGTTGAGAAACCATAGAGGAAACCAATGTAAAACAAAAACAGTGACATAGTAAAGTTCCCGAGGAAGTTTCTACATAGTAATTTAATTACATTCGTGACCGGACGTTCAAATCCTTTAGAGTAAGCAGGTGAATGCTCTGCTTAATTAGATTTCAAATTTCTCCGTGGTTCGTAAAGTCCATTTGTCTGAGAACGTCAATTAGGCCATGAATAGTATTCATTGCTGTACAAAATAAATTATTTGAAAGAACGTATTTGTGTTTGTGCATAACAATGTTCTCGAGCACAGTACCTACTGTGCTGATTGAATGACAACCAAGTACCTGTCGTGATAATTAAGAACGTGTAGTCTTCATTCCAACTTTCCCATTGATGTTATCTCTACGTTTCGCATAATCTGTTTTAGGATACAATCATGGGAACCACGTACTAATACGGATTACGGGTGGAGACTTCTAAAGCTCTATTAATTAATTCTTATTTATAAACTTACGTAAAATATTTATTATATATAATTCACGGATTAAAACCGAGCATCAGTCAATTTTTAAAAGTGTATGATAGGAATACCTGTAAATTATACAAAATATGCTAACAGGGCAGCTTATACGCGGTTGAGTGCAAGTGGCGGCCGGGCGAGGACGGCATTCCTCGCAATCCAGGCGGATGGACAACGAGTCTCGTGCCTAACAATGGCTTACATTCCCCGAATCCCATTATCAGTTCGTTATATTGAATGGTTATTTGCCCACATTACACAGACTCACACTACGATATTACAATTTTCCTATCGACAAATTGTGTTTAAAGAGTCAGTACTAAAGATTCATGTCCGATAAGATATTGTATCTGATAACGGCGTATGTTCGAAGTTGATTTAATTCCATTTTAATTCAATTCTGACTAACAGACTTGTATTGTGAGCATTTGTGACTGTCAATCTAAGGATTCACTTAAAATGTGAACTGTAGATTCAGTTTCATCTTTTTAACAATGAAATGTAATAAACTGAACTCATTATTATTGTTATGATTATGATACAAGTGATGTTAACCTTGCTTTGCCTTAAAGATCGCAGCAATAAGAGCAGGTGACATTGATGCACCAGTATCTTGATCACAATAATGTACGATGAGTCACGAACTGAGCAAGGCGGGATGTTTCGTAGTGAACGCTGTGACGTACACATAACGTATATCGTACAATTGTACGGCTATCGGCTACAAGCCTAACATCGACGAAATCTACCTATATTCAAGGACACCAATACTAATTCGAGAAAAGCAGATTATTTTGGGAATGGTCACGCGATGCATGTCGGTATTTTGTTTACCTGCATGTCAACTGCGAAAACTAAATCAGTTATCGGAAGCTTAATATCAACTTTCTAACGCATCTAGACATTTATGTAACAAAGATTATAATCTTGATCGATTATGGTAATAACGAGATACCTATGATGCAAGCGGTTTTTTATGTTTGGGTGTACAAAATGTAAGGCAACTCTCGATGCGACCTCGTTTATTCGGAGCCAATACGAGGTTCAGAATAGCGGGCGTTAAGATACTTATCATTCTAATTTAAATAATATTATAATAGCAACTTGCAATAGTGTTCTACAAAAGCGAAGCACTTTCTCTGTTTTACGTTTCAAATGTCTTAAACTAGTTTCCTTCCTGAAAATTAATTTAGACCATTTGTTTGGCTGAACGACTGAAAGTTTGAAAATTTTCAGAATAAGTTTAGAATGAGAATTGTAAAAAATAAATAGACCTTCAGGTTCCTGAGTATTTTGTGTAATAAGTAACGTGTATCTGTCATTCTGTATTACCTAATCTCACATATCTTCACAATCAATGATTGAAATGTTTACCAAACAATGTGCGACCTGAATAACAGCAACACCGCAGTTACAGCAAGTGCTGCAATCTTCAACGATAAGAGCATGTCCATTTAGCAAAATATGCTAGTGTTATGCTTGCTGGTGTTTTAATTTGTGATCGTTATTTTTAATCAACTGACGCGTTCAATGACCCCGATTCGACGCAGTAGATCCGAAACGAACGCGGAATAGACCATTAGATTACCAATCGCGAAGGAGTATCACTTAGTGCGAACTAAGCTTTAGTGTTTGCAAGTTGAATGAGTGCTACGAACTAATCAGTCCAGCATGTCCAGAGTAGTTTGACAGTTGCCATACCGCAGAAGTAATCCTATTTTGTATAATGAACTTACATAACATGGATACTTTGAATTCGGACTTGTTGTTTGCACTTGTATAACAATAGCGTGTGAACAGCATGACCACATCTTTGTGTAGAAGTATCGCGAATTAGATCTCAGTTCGCCTTTCACTTCGTGTGAAGCGAGTTAAAGGGTATAAGGAACGCTAGGGCATTTTAGGTCATTAGTTCACGGCCGGACTATGAAGTAGATTACCTACCTCAATTTTATGATATGTACTCCTGCCCTATTTGTATTGTTATACTTTTATTATTTTCGTATCCCTATAATACAAGTCTGAATTAAGATCATATTTTTACTTGAATATAAATGCCGAATGCCGAATGGTACATTTAAACCTTTAAGTTTCAGCACAATAACAATACTTTAACTGAACACTTGATAGCATGATAGACGACCTGCTTATAATCTCATTTAGCAGATTGAATACCCATTACTATGATAAAGTTTCTTTGAATACTGCAATCAACGCGAGCGCAGGTGAGCCGTTATTTGCAATTGCAACATCAATAATCGTATAATAATGATGGGATTTCTAGGTTCACGATGAAAGCTGCTCACCAACATTAAGTCGAGGAAGGCGCCAACAGCGATGCGGGGTCAACGACACTGCGTTATAAGAGCAACTGTCACTTTCAAAGGTCGACAGGCATGCAGGTCGACTTAGTACAGATGATATACCTTATAGGGATTCAAATATTGATAGGGTTATTAGTATTCCTTATTACAATGATAATAATACCGCATTTCTTTTATTTAAAACTAATTTAAATTATCTTTACATACTTTTAATTAAAATTGCTTAAAATTAATGACAATTTTGATATGATATCAGTGTAAAATGTAGTATGATTTGCTAAAAGCAAATACTTTACAAAGTAGCATTGCCGATACACGCTATCCGGTTATGAAGACAAGGGACCCAATAATTGGCAACACTAGACAGTTACACGCGGAAGGAAGTCTATATTTAAAAAATTATGGTTACTCAAACATCAAATTGAAACGATTAAATAATTGGCGCGAGTGCATAAGCACTTGTGAATTACTTAAAATCAAAATTAACCTACATAACAATATTGAATAATTTTTTTTTTTTTTTTTAAGGGGGGAAAATCATCGAATGACTGCCCCCGCCTGGGTGAGGCGGGAGGGAGTGTCAGACTCTTACTGACTAAAAACCACCCCGTTCCTTCTCCTGCACGTCGAGCCGGAGCCCCGGTTACCTACCCGTTAGGTTCTCCGCGACAATATTGAATAATTAGGGACCTTTCAAAGTCTGTCCATTTGGTTTTACTAAGTAAAAGATCACCCTGCTGTCTATACAACAGGATGAATTCAAAATTGACAGATACGTTAATTTAAGCATATTGTACAATGAGGGGTGGAGTAAGCCAATTTTATTTGGACAAGCCTACTGATCAACCATCAAACACTGATTTCCTGCAAGCTATGTGCTACAGTAGCGAATAACCTAGAGATTATCGAAAATTTAAGCCCGATGTGCCCAGTGACATGATCGGTAAACTACTGTTTTAGAGCACGAAACTAAATTAATCTAGTAATCTCAAACGTATAGGTACAGGGCCTTTCTATTTCTTTACACTTTTGACCAGTTGTGTTTTTATTTATCCTGTCGAAAACCTCATTTAACTTGTACGAGACAAGGATTGATCTCGATAGATCTCGTACTTGTTTGTGGCACATAAATTATATTAGTTGCATACAAAAAACTGTAGAGAAATTGATTCATATTATCACGCTTTTGTAGAATGTAGATCTTAGTTATTGCAAGCATTTCTGTAAGATATGAAGTTTTGATAGGATATTGTAATTAATACCAAATTCAGAAAGTTTCTAGTAGAGTATTGGTAACATTGCGTTAGTAGCGACCTTGTTGCCGCCGCAACTATTTGCTTGACCGAATTCATTGAAACTCAATTCTGTTGGTCCAAAACGCAATCGTATATTCTGAAGACAATGCTCTGTCTACTATTGAGAATAAAGAACTGAATAATGAATTGACTTGAAAACTACCAAATAGATAATTATTACAACAATAATTTTACATTGTAACATTTCTGGGTGTGCGTATTTACTGAACTGCAGCACAAATAGTGCAATAAAAAGACATATACAAGTGCAAGCTTTCTATTCCGGATTTCTAACCAATTTAATGTTGTATTCTGCGAGCAAATTGTTACCCATATGACCTCGGCGTGAACCGTAGAATTAATGTTGTTTCTATCTGATGAAAAGTTAGGCGCTGCGCAGGCAACTATGTCGCTGCTGCGTAAGTTATCGACATTCTACAAGAATCATCTTATTTCTTTCCCCGAAAACTATCAACTTATTTTCAAAATGCTAATGTTTTATATGAAACTGTTAGTGTTTGCAACTGTGCAAGAACGTCATTGTTTTTTAGGTCATCATAAAAAATAACGATTACTATATACATTTGCATAAATACTGAATATAATTTTCGTAATTATACCAAAGTAATGTTCTATGAAAGTGGAAGACTTTGTACGGAATAAACAATTCTTTAATAGAGAACTCGAAATAACAATTCGAATTTGACGAAAATAAGTTTCAACATTTTGAAACTCTGCTGGCTATAAAACTTGATCTTTCCACTACTGGTGTCATAGAAAAGTATGCAACTCGCGTGAAATGAGTGACACATAAACTGTAATATGACAATAATGTATGCATGACTTACAGCTCCTCTCGTTGCCGTTGTGACAACACCATTTTCATCGTGGTCGGGTGACGCTTGAGGCGGCGGGCCCGGTTGGTTCACTGCACTAGAGTCTCACTTATTCACGCGGGCGACGACAGGAACGCCGTTGCCATTATAACACCTGTGTACAATCACAATAGTTTTGTTTACAAATCACTCATATGAGAAATAATTTTGAAAGTTTTAGATGTGTTCAATGTTATCTTTCCAATTGCTGGTCATAATGTTTAGTCTAAAATAAATATAATTTAAAGTACCTTGTTTACTTTATCAAAAAGAGTCAACTGTAATTAATTTTCGCGCCTTTTTATTGAGAGCATTGACAAGATACTTTGTCTTATTCCAAATTTAAATTTATATTATGCCAATATGCAATACAGATAACACACAAAAGAGGTTGCATTACTGTTCCGAATTCCAATAAAATTGTAGCTGTTATTAAGATCATTTTTACAAAACTGATAATAATATGTAGATTACAGAAATGAAATAACAAGCTATAATACAATTTTGAAATAAATTAAGACATGAGGAAGACAGATTAAAGGTTACATTACATCACTGACAACATTAACATACTTGTGAGTCATCGAAATAAATCTCATGTATTAAGTATCTACATTTGGCACTAAGGCTGTTAAGTAAACAACCTAAAAAGGTTGTTTTATTTATTTAACCCTGACCAAAATCACACAGACGAAGAAAATAACCCATTCAAACTAGTCTTACTGTGTATGACGATATAATTTATTTTTCTATAAAATGATAGTAATCATGTTGTTCACAAAAACTATTTGTTTAATATTTTTTGGCACAATTTTTAAAAGAATTTATACAAAATATTGAATTGTAATTCTTAATGATCTAAAATGAAACGAATAATGTTTTAGAGAACACGAATGAAGATTTAATATTCAATGCAGATATTTCAATATTTTCTGAATTAATCTGTCAAACACCAAGCGGTCACCGGTGACCGCGACCTATTGTTCTTTAATTGTGTCTATAAAACCGGTACTCGACGAGTTAATATTCTGATAGCTGAAAGGCTGTTGACATTTGCATTAAAGTCAATGACCTAATGTATGCAATGCTAGACTATGTAATAGTAAATTCTAGTTTCATTATCGATTATGCAAGGATATCTAGATTTCACAGACAATACTTAAACATTAAACATATTAAAGAAGGAAATAACTATCGGTTAAGACAGAAGTCCAGTATGACAAAAATGTAGCTTTTTTCTTTTATTAAAAACCTATAGTTCATTTTTCACCTGAAAGCATTTGTTAAACAGCAAGTGGTCAATATTTAAAAATCAATATCAGAATAACTAGGTATTACCTAATAATCACTATGAGCAAACCTACTTACAAAAAGGTTAAAGTAGTTAATTTGCAATAACAAGTTTCAGTAATTGCTGTCATTAATCACAACAAGGAAATTAGCATAAATTAGCTTCAAACTGATAAAAATATGTCACAGAAGATACTAAATGTACCTATATTTCATAATAATTTATTGGAAGTAGCAAGAACATTGTTATTAAAACATAAACTGTAGTTTTAAATTATAAAAATAAACATGGTATCATTTACTATAATTTGGTGCTGCTAAAATCTCAAATAAATTCTGCTTTCCAGGTAGTTTAATAAGTTTTAATGTCAAAATCTTACAAAGATGTATGTATGTCATGTAGCTTTAGTTTTATACAACATAATGTCACATCCTTTTTCCTGAAGGGATAGGCCTGGTGCACATATACAATGTAACAACCACTTTTTTAGTTATGTTGTGGTAATAGAGGGTGACTCTATTGTCATTCACCGGGCACAATTCCAAAACCCGTGGTGTTACTAACAATTTTCAAATATCTAAAAAATCTATAGTACTAAAACTTAAATTAAAAATTTTAATGGCTTCTTTTAAGTACATTTTAAAATGCTAAACTGTGAACATGTAATTTGAGGCTAATCAAAGTTAAGTATGGCTTCTATGTCAAGGGCATACCTACATTTGTTTTTGTAAGTTGCGTAAATGAAGCCATAATGTGGCGTTTAATGAACTTTACCAAGGTATTTTATTATTGCTTACTGAACAGTTTACATAGTGTCTCCATGTGAACCTTGCTCAACTTCAAGGTTTAAGGAAGTCAGATTTTTTTAACTTATCTATTAATTTGAAGATGTTTGTTTTGACCTATGTCTAAATATTAAAACTCATAGCTGAAAATGTGACAAAATGTAAGATATATTATTTAAATTTCTAGTATTCCAAAGTAAATTAATGTAAATAATAAAGGAAATTAATATTTTTTTATAGAAACAAGGAAACTTTCTATGTTTTAAAGGTAGTAATTTATATATTGCTACCCAGCCAGTAAACAGTACCGTTTACCTATTAACCAACCTTCAGACCATCCCAATAATACACCACGAAACTAGTGAAATTATTTTATCAGGATTTTGACGATTTATGTAATTTTGCAGCAGTGTTGTTTTTTGTTTAGCATGTAAAATACAAAAGTTTTTAGGGATTAGATGAAATATCCTAGCTTTTATAAAGAGAATCAATGTACGTATTTACAACGAAAATGAATAAAAAAAGCATAGAACGCGAATGCAGTAAAATCATAGTATAAAGAACAAAGTAGGTTATCTTCATACAAATGCTCCGCGCGCGGCTTATATGTGTGCGCCATAGTATCTATGCGTCGACGCACGCACACTTTAACAAAATCTCGACCCGTTTCTCAGTGCGCCAGGCAGGGCTAACACTGCACGAGGTTCGCGCGCGCATCACTTTTCGGCACTGTTAAATGAAATAAAAAATGTCTGATAACCGTAGAAGAACGTATTGCTGTGTGTTTGGGTGTCTTAATAATTAATCGATTCCAGAACTGTCTCTGTTCAGATTACCTATTGAACAGGAAAGGTAAGCTAGTCACTTTTTCTAGCATAATATAATTTGTAGGTACTTGATGATGAGATACCTACTTACTTATTCTTACTCTTATCATTCTTCATAGTTCCTACTGAACCAGAAATGTAATTACCTACTATACTTAAATATTATAAGAAAATGTGGTATTGTATTGTTTATTTCACAGTTTATCTGATTTGTTAAGAGCGTGGCCGTGTCGCATTTTTCCATATAAATGTATTCTCAAATTTACTTTCTGAATACTATGTATAGAGCTAAAGTTTATTTTAAGACGTTAATAATCTTTTTATAAGCTTTTTATTTTTACTAAATTTATAATTTGATAAAATATTCAATAATAATATGCTTTTCATTTCATAAATTTAGATCAAGTGCTGCTTGTTCGAAAATATTAACTAAAAGTAAAAGTGACAACCCTGGGGATCAACGCAAGAGTAGGCTAATAACTCGGCGGGCGGCCTTAGATAACCTACTGTGTTCTTTATACTATGGTAAAATGACTCAGAAATTAAACGTCAAAACCAACAGGGTTACTGTCATTTTGCCACATCAACGAAATTCACAAAATCTGTGAAATTTTCATGTCCAGTCTTCAGTTAAAGTGTGAATTTTGTAATCAGTGCGATTATTGCATATTGAAGAATAAATATTCCATGAATAACATAAAAGAACGGCCATATTGAACGTCTGCATCGGACAAGCTCTACGCAGATATTTTTGTTAAGTTCTCGTTAGTCTACGAATATAACTGAGAATTAAATCAAATTGTACTTACGGAACACAAAAACACTTAAAATTTCACTTTTAATTGAAATAAATATCACGCACTCTACAATCACACTTCACACAAGACCCAAGGCAGAAAACCGTTTTCGTTGCAATGGCTTAAACTCACCCACCAATCCAATACAACATGAAGTTTCGATTTTCTTTCTGTAGACATTTACTGAAAGTACAGCGCCATCTATATTATGTGTTAAAAGACTTTTTTAGACAGAGATAGGAAATCCAGATTTAGAAAGTGAGAAAGAGAACCAATATTCAGCATTACCAACGCAAAAAATAGCAATTACTTTGTTCCTTTTTTAACAACGGCAATTTCGTAAGTTTTTAGAATTTTATTTAATTTCAATACCAATGAAAAATTCTTACGGAAAATGATGAACACCTCGAATATTAAATTATTTTGCAGCGTTTTGCAATAAAATATTATTGTTTCAATAAAAAAAAAATTACAAAACCGAACAATGATTGGTGCAATCGATTAAACATTTACATCTCGAGCTCGAGACTAAAGCATTCATGGTCAATTCATTCCTGGATGTATTATGTACGCTTATTTTATTAACCGCTGTTGACTGCACTCATATATAATATACCGTCGTTATATAAACTAATGTTTTCTTCCTTTCTTATTAATAATCATCAGACATAACATAGCTAATAATAACTAAAAGTAAAATTAATGTAGTGGAAGGAATAAGGACAAATTGAGATTTCATCATAATTTTAAATATTTAATAAGAAAATATTTTACGTTATAATTATTGATAATTATTCAGTTCAGTTATTTATATTAAATTACTATTTTTGTAATCATAATGAATAATATTGAAGAGTTTCACGACAGACAGTAGACAACTCAAAATTTAGTCGATTTTCAACTTTTAGTCAACCACCAGACAGACACCTCTAATTCAACAAAACAAATGTCCGAATCCGAATCGTGCGCCCATTTCGTAAGTTCCTCAAATGATAATTTTGATTGACGCCCTGAAAATAATATATTTCTACAATACTGAGCCACGCGTAAACTCTTTTTACTATACAAAAATAAATATTAGCTATAAATTTTTGATAAACCTCTTCCAGATTTAAATTTTTTATACATCGTTCGTTGATACCTACGTCGACGAAAGGAATCAAGTTTCATAAATAATGGTGTTTGCATAATTGTCTCGAAATTTAGAATATCTAATTAACTACTACATTTTGACTCCAGTTAGTTCAAAAGAGTGTTCGACCTCCAAAATGGCAGTGATCAGTGCTCACCTTTCACCTTGCAGCTAGTGAATAGATTTAGGTTCCGATCATCGATGTGTAACTCGTTAAATAACGTACGGGGCACGAATGCTGACTCTGAGGAGCAGTGTGTGCGATGGTGATAGCAAAGAGCAAGAAAGTGAAACCAAACATGAGTAATACTATTAAAAATATGGACTATAACTGGACACCTGGTCCAGAGCCACAGAACAACCAGGATGGTGGTGTGCCCAGGGCAATCTTCGTTCCTCACTCGAACTCGTTGCCGTTTGAAGAACGTCGTGTCACGTTGGAGCAGCCAGTCAAGGTAATGTTCCCATTGAATTGTATTAAATTGTCTGAGCAGAATGACAATGTCACTTGTTGTAGGTAAGGAATCTTGTTTGAAGCATCAAAGTAGATGGCCCAAGAACATGCCATTGAGAATGTGCTATGTAATGTGTTAATTTTGTACTGTCCAGTTATTAGAGTACCTATGTTAATTATTGATACTTGGTAGTGTCTTAGTACTCAGATTAAAAGAACAGAGCAGTGTAATTATGTAGTATTATGTGGTAGAGGTAACTACAAACATTGAAACTATTTACTTGGCCTATTTACCTTGATATAAATTCATATCATATTGTATTACTCTTAAATGCTATATAATAGGATTGCTATTGAATAATTTTATGGCCTTTTTGCCTTTATTAGATACTAGCTTCTGCCCGCGACTTCGTACGCGTACCTTCCCATTTTTTCCCGTCCCCGTTCGTGATTTTCGGAAAAAAGTAAAAAAAATATTTTTGGTTAAAAAGTATCCCATGTCGGTCTCCTGGCTCTAAGCTACCTCCCTACCAATTTTCAGCCAAATCTATTCTGCCGTTCTTGAGTTATAAGTGGTGTAACTAACACGACTTTCTTTTATATATATAGATTCTAAGTGTTTTAGTGAGACTTTACAACTGTGTAATTGATAGTATTGTCTAGTAGGTCTTGGCATAGCTTACTGGAATAAAAAATATATAAGGTGGTTACTAGGTTCTTATTGGACTGTAATAACAAGTTCTCCAATCAAGGGAACTAAGTGAATTTCAGTAAATTGGAAGCTAACTGTGTTATATTCCCCTTATATTTTCATGTGATGTCTGTTAATTGCAATTACGAATGATACTGTTGCAATACATGAAATTTTTAAAATACTATTCGTAATCTGTAAAAGTTGTTTATTTCCTTGAATAGTAAGTCAAGGTACTACAGCATAAGTAACTATTTGAATACATTTCAATAAAGATTTCTTTCCTTCTATGCCATTTTAATTGAGCAGAAAAAAGAAATGTTTGAATATTAACTTATATTCCAACTAATATTCAGAAATTTTTAAATATTAGGTAATTATAATAATTTTGATTTGATAATCGCATTCACATTAAACAAAGTAATTTAACTATCTCAATATTATGTATTGTCTAAACAAAAAAATCTTCAGTTCAATTGCTATAAAATTTTTAAATCTCTTTAAGTACTTACTACTAAGAAAAGAATTCCGACGTATCTTAATCTGTTGCTCAACAAGACTCCTAGATAAGAACTTATCTAGATGTCATTGATATAATTTTTCAATTTATCTCAATTTTTGTCACCTTATGTTCTTTAACTAAAGATATAAATAAGCTATCCTCTGACTAACGTCCAGTTTCTATAACCTATCTATCTGTAGATTTGCTTACTAGAGATAGAATAAAATTATGACACATTTTGCAATGTCAAAATTCTATCTCTAGTAAGCAAATCTACAGATAGATAGGTTATTGAAATCGGACGTAAGAGTACATTTTTTTTCCGAGTTGAGTACTTTATTTCAATTGAAGAGAAGATTCTTTTTAAATAAACTTTAAAATAATAAAATGTTATTTTTCCTCATTTATGATATTTGCTTATTAATATGTTGATATATCGTACCAATAAATCATTCATACAAAAGTAGTCTCTAAACATCGGAAATAAGGTGTATAATGGAGTTAGTGGAGAGCGGCCACTGGAGACCGCTTGCATACTCTTTGAGCAGTTATTTACATTATATAGATTCCTTTTGAGAAGACTAAGCTAAAACTATGGCACAGATACTACAGGAAAGGTTTTTTTTAAACGCTCTACTATTTCTCCTGTTCTGTTATAAATAAATTCACATACACATGACACCCAGACACGGAACAACAATCTGGGGATCACACAAAGAGTTGCTCCGTGCGGGAATCATACCCGCGCCGCGCGCGGCTGCCTATTGCCCAACCACCGCGCCAACCGTGCAATCAATCGACTATTTTCCCCATTATTTAATAGCCAGTTTAATATTTGTTGTTATTAATCCCCTATGTTGAATATTCATGTGGCCAGTTACCTGTCATAGAGTGCTGATGTCTAAATTATATATCCATTAGCCAAATCTTTCAATGTTTAGTTTACTGTGAATAGCAGATAACTGCTTGTATTTAAAGAATAGACTTTCTTTTATTTAAATATAGGCATGATGATGAACATCTATTGCCATTTTGAAAAGCACTAAAATGTAAAGAAAATGTCACAAAAATACAATAATTCTTTGTGTCAAAGGGTTGGGTAAGAAATAGTAGCTTTTGTAGAATCAATACAAATATTTGTTTGTTTCACTAATTGCTAGGGTTGCAATAGCAATATTATTTTTCAGATGATGATTAGGATTGTAATGTATTTAAGGTAATAATTGTCTAAAAAAATTCTATACTGTCTGAAAATAGTAATGCTAAATGTAAAAATAAATAAACACAAACTATTATCATTACTATAATTATATTGACCACATCAATGAGTACCCATTTGTTAAAAACATTTTTGTTATTTACGATTAAGTAGTTGGTATAGTTTAGACAATTTATTCTGATCAGTTGTCGTATTATAAATATTTGACGTGGCAGTGTTGATTCAGGATAATAACACATTTGATACTATTTAACATTTTCATTTGCATAATGATTTTGTCTATTAATTGCAGACGTAAACCCAATTCTCGCGATTTAATTTGGTATTTGGGTTCACAAATATATGAACTGTTTACTGTGATTAAAAGAACAATTCGTTAAAATGACGATTTATTTAAAATAGACTATCCCGAAGTTATAAAGCAAAGCCATTCCAGTTGTAGATAATTGTGACGAATAACAAACATGAAGTATCTGACTATTATTGACGTAAACTACTGACAATGAATGGAATGTACCGAGTACAATCTAGCCTCACAAGGAGAAAGAAGGAAGAGAGCTATTTAAAAGGAAATACTTCAATAGAATAGGAACAAAGACATTTTTGTTATAGATAAACGTATTCTTCACATGCGTATTTTAAAGATCACTATTAATAAGCAAGTCCGTTTAGTAGCCTTTGTTCAGATCAACTCATTATTAAAATTGAACGCAATTGTAAATCTCGTCACACTCAAATCATTGCATTTATCCATAATTTAGTTTGTATTCAATCCAGGCGCTCGGTTGTCTGTCAGGGTAGATGCGCTCGAACACAGGCGTGCGCGCCTGACTCAGCTTGACCCGAGGTGCTTGAGACGACCACAATTGTGCATTGGCAATTAAATTTAATGAGATTAAATTGTGCTATTTCTGAGTACGCATCTGCTAGTACGCCAGTAAGGAAGTCGATACTTATCGGCCTCATGTTATTGTAGAGGAAGCTTTTGTCCCAAGTTTCGCTATTATTAAAACAATTAACAATAACTAGCTCGTGTATCATGTGACTCATTGTGTTTTTTATTTGCGTCTTATCTTACCAATAAAATTGATTCATATTGCAATGATTGCGAGGTCGTAAGTTAAAGCTCGGACGATAGCGGAAAGGAAACTTACAATACTTTCAAGTAAACAATAAAGGTTCAAACTAAAGTATAACATAAGTACATAGTGATGCACGAGAGTTTGGCAAGGGAATCTCTCGACGATTGCAAAACTATGGTAATAAGATGAGCTGAAAGATGCCGCTTATGGTTCCTGTAGCACTCAAGTAGCGGCGGCCTTATTAACCCATTTGGGACCAAATGCAAACTACACATAATTTAATAAAAAAAACTTTATTAACTCAATGATATGACGCCCACAAACTAATATCAGCAAAAAAAAATCAAAAAATATTTTTAGAACTATTAAAAAAAATGCCGTCCTTGATTGGGGACAACGGTCTCATGTGTAGTACTTGTCGAAGTAGTAACTGTTTTCGACACATAAGGTTCTAACGCATTATTTGCATTGATATCACAGTTTTTTTATGAGGAACTGCGTGTCGTAACAGATATTAACTAAATCTCTGCGGAAAATGTCTAAATCAATTTGATGTGAGGCGCCTATATTTTTTTTGAGGGTAAAAATCATGCATTGCGTTTTCCACCTGAGGGACTCTTACTGGCTAAAAACCAACACGTTCCTAATTCTGCTTCAAGCCGAAGCCCCGGTGACCCACTAGGTTATTCATAGTAGTCGGGCATCTGTCCCACTGAGCCATCTCGATCTAAGGCGGTCTGATCTGCACTTTGAAGCGCGCGCGTAACGCCACGCACCTTACAGGTACAGGTCTGGTTCTGGGCGGCGATCTGTTCTTGCTACTATGACTGCTTCGCAGAAAGAGATGTTTTCCAGTTCCCCTCGCTCCGCCCCACAGCCAGAACCTAAGCTGGACGTGGAAGATTATTGTCGTCGATCACTTCCCTGAAGACACGGCGGTGGTCAACGTATACAGGGCATAATGCTACTCTATCCTCTGGGTGGACTTCGCTGTGACGACACCAGAATACAGCTGGAGGAAATGCCCCCTACTGCTGAATTCTGATATCGGTTGCGACGCCTGGTACTGTAGGTGGACTTTTGCATCTTCGGTCTTGATGCCCATCAGATTTTAGAATATGAACGCGTAAAGATATGGCGGAATTGGTGACGCTCTTCATGAATTAGCGTCTGTTGTCACCAAGGATAAGGTATAACTAAGTTTAGCCTATATAGGTGACCTTTATAAATTGGAAAACAAAATACAAATCACGTATAAATGTTTTAAAAATATACTACAGATGTGCCCATTGTCCCCATACGGGGACACCATCATTTTTTCTAACTTACCCCTAAGCAGAATTGAAAGTATAAGGATATTCTTCAATATTGTTTTAATTGACACTATAAGGAAGCAATAATCACAAAAAAGTTTTATAAATCTTCATAATAACGTACTACAAAACGCCTCTGCTTTCGATAATAATTCCCATTTCACTTCCTCTTGATAGAATTGGCAATATGACCCCTTTTTTGTAGCAATTTGTCAAAAGTCCAAATAATTTTAGGAAAGTACACTACTCCTCATTATAAATACCCATGAAATGTAAAGATAGCTAAAATAATTAATAACCAGCGGGTAAAAGATAACCTGTCCCCATATGGGGACGGCGGATCCAAATGGGTTAAATACGAGCATTATAGTGCGCTAAAAGAAAATGAAATGTGCTCTTGGTTCGTAGTTCGATTGTTGTAAATCAATAACCTATAAGTAGCGCGTGCATCTGAGTAATTATGTTACGGGCGTAATAATGCGAAGCATCGTTTGAATTAATAACACATGAATTATGGAACAGAGTCGTTTACACATGCGCTTGACTAGAAGGCGAAGGTATTTTTTATAAGCATAGTAAATACGTAATGGCATAGGTAATGGTGTACTCGGCTAGACTTTGTGGTTGGTTGACTAAGTTATTAATTATGCTAATTGTAAGCTACTTAATATACCCTTATTAGTCTAATCATCACTACTATGGTTGTAGGCATGAAGTCTTAACCATATGTTTTTCGTAAAAAATCTATTTGAATATTGTTTCAGTAACTAGGTATCACAAAACCCTAATTACATGGAAATGATGAGCAATAGGCTCACCCCCTATTACATCATAACATAAATAGTGAAAAGTGGGTGTTAGGTACATTGTGCACTGGCATAATGTGCCCCTTTACCTACTCTTTCGGGGATAAAAGGCGTGACGTTGACGATGATATTCCCTTATTCTATCTTTACCTCAAAGCACGTGATGCAAAGTAATTAGTAATAGGAAAAAGGGTAAAACTTCATTAGTGGATAGTAAACACGCACTTTAGTACTAAAACAAAGGCGGGGTCTTGATGTCATATCATCCAAGATAAATAAATCTTTGTTAACAATGCAAGCTTTCATGTGTGTCGCGTCGTGAGCTAGAGATCCATTGATCTCAATAGTAGATACTTACAGTATATTTCACATACAAATAACATGTTGATACACAGATCAATCTATTTCGATCTGTCTTGATTGACGTACGCAACATTAACTGGTTAATTAGGTTGCCATCTCTTCGTATAGGTACAAGTACAACCATCGTTATAGATGTGGCTAACGTTTTCCTGTGACCTTTTGACTAACTTAACCATAAACTTAATAATAAAATAAACATAATATGTTGCCGAATATAATAGATAAAAAATGTAATGAAAGAATAGTTGCATATGATATGGCTGTAGAACGTCGAAACAGTAGAATTCTTTAAATATTTAGTTGATAATTGAGGAAGCTGGCGTTATCTGACGGATCTAATGCTCGTATTGCGTTCATAGAATGTTTGAAATGTTTCAGATTGGCCGCAACGTGTACCGCGCGACTCCGAGCCCGACGAACACAATATTCGAATGCCGAGTGTTGTCTCGACACCACGCCACGCTCTATTACGACAAGGGCCACTTTTACCTTGTGGTGAGTCCCACAAATTGCTGCTATGTACATTGTACCAACTTACGACCAATTGTTACTAACACTCCTGCTATTACTGGCTAGTTGCGCCGAACACTATCATTACTCCAGTCACTGGAATTGCATGCGAAATATCATGTCTGAGTACAAGAACTGACGAGGTTAAGAAACTTCATTACACGCAAGAAGTGCAACTTCGGAAAGCTGTTTTGAATCATTTGATAGTAACAATGTGCTTAAAGCTACGCAATAATCGCCTATTCTTCACATTGATTGCCGCATTGACAAGCTCGTCTAGTATTCCCAACGAACAGTTTAAAGAATTTGAGTTATTCATTAGTAAGAAACGATTCCAATCGGTTCAGTAGTTGGTGCGATCACCCTGAACAATAGAACAAAGGAACCAGCTCTTTATACCTAGTAGTAGTTTTTCAATTGTCGCCGGTCAGGTTTGCGGAGTTCTTTTCCATAACAGTACATATTAATGCGGAGCTGTTGCACCTAGAGAGGTCACCATGGCCTACCTCAGGTATTGAGGGCAGCTGGAGGTGTTTCTTGATTGCGTTATACTGATGGCGATAAAAAAATATTGTGTCTCTAATACTAAGCATTGCTAAAACAATATGTGCTTAAATGGTGCGTTTGCAACACCTTTTTAAGATTTATGCCCTGCTAGGCAGCTGACGCAAGATATGGTTCCATTTTAAAATATCAGAGCTCCATATCAAAACCCATTAGTAATAGTTATCAAAATCCCAATACTAAATAATTTAATAAGCTGTATGGGACTACGGACTACATAAGAGTGCTTGTTTTAATTCTCGTAGGTCCAAATCGAGTGAATAGTTTTCAAGTGGAACAATCCAATTTATGTGACATCACATCAGATCCGTGCTTAAATTAACATACTTAAACCGTTAAAGAGACAGCTGCGATTGTTCGCTCCGTTCCGTTCCGGGGTAGTCTACTTAAGTTCTATTCAAATTAAGTAAAGAATAGAAAAACTCAACAAGTAAAAACTATAACGCATAAATATCCCTAATTTAAATGCGTAATTAAGACGCAACACAAGAACAGAAACGTATTTACATAAGTATGTAGGACCGTACATTTCCGACCGAAAATCTCACGACACGATCTCAAACATCCAAGTCACAATAGCTCGTTCATAACAGTAATAAGTATGACTAAATTAGTTGTTATGATTATTACGGGGGTTACGAAAAAGTCAATTCATCCTACATGAGTTATGAAAGAACCTTGGAGGTACTTGTTACGTGGAGGTTGGAGCCTAGTATTTCGAGCACGGCTCTCACCATATCCGCCCACAGGCGATTTCTATGAGCGCCTGTCTTCATGGTAATTCGTTTACCGAACTGCGTCTCCGGTTTTAGAGGTTGTTTGCCTACAAACGTCTGAATTGTTCGCGTAACATTGATGTTACGTCGTAAAATCCACAATGAGTTGTAAAGAATGAAGACACTAAGGTTGATCGCTTTGGTTATATTGGTTCTCGTTTCTGATGGCATGGAAATTGATATTTGCTGGGCGCCGCATAATGTTTTGATGGTTGAGAATATTTTCCTTATGCAAAAATGCTATCCGTATTATTATAATGGGATAAAATGGTTGGATAAATAACAAAAGTAGCTTTAAATAAATATTAAGTACATTGCACAACTGTGTCGTGACTCTTATCGATAAACATGCACTAATTAATAAACTGTGTTTAAAATGTATTTATGATAAATTAGTTCAGTATTGCAAAGTGCATTTGTTTGTTTGCTAACTTTACTACATGGAAAAAAATAATCTGCAAGTTTTAAATGTGGCCCCAATAAATATGATGGATTGCTACATACTACTACGTATTTAAGATAGGTATATGGTATAGTTGTAATTTTAGTTTATCATATTAATAACTCAGTTATCACTAGTATACAAGATGGGTAGAAAAAAACCTCATATTTTACTAAGAATGTTTTTCTATAGACTAAGCCATTGGTAGGGTGGTAAATAGGGTTCTTAGTAGTTTTTTATGGGATAAGCCTGTAAACGAGCAGAAGGAATACCTGATGGTAAGCAATCGGCGTCGCCCGTAGCTCCCGGTGTTCTGGGTACGAGGCGTTGCAAGTGTGTTTCCGGCCTTTTGGAGATTATGATTTTGAGGATTGTTGGAGGTTCAGGGATTGGGTAATTTCACTCACACGACAAAACAAAACGCAAGCGTTGTTTCACGTCGGTTTTCTGAGGGGCCGTGGTAACATTCCGGTCTAGCCGGCCCATTCGTGCCGACGCATCGCACTTCCACACTTAATAAATAGTTGCTAAAATAGTAAAATATGGCGCAACATCAAAATGTTACTATATTTTCCTAGATTGGCTCTATAAGGCCAAAGGACATTAAAGAGGTCAATTCTACTTATATGTACGTAGTGTGTATTATAAGGATAATGGTAACGTTAAAACAGTAAGTATAGAATCAAACAAGAACTAATATAATAATTCGTGCCACTCAATATTTCAATATGAAATAAGATTAAGTAGATACATTTTGAACTTGTATTTTATTTTAGTATGTAAATTATAATAGACAGGTAAAGTCTAGCTCGTTTATTGTGACGTTTATTATTATTAGCTTAAAATATATTTATAGATATATAATGGAAATACCTACGCATCTATAAGAAAGACTAGAAAGATATGTCTGTTATTTGTGTCAAAAGAATGCCTTTGTATTCCACATCTCTCATACGATTAACAATATAAAAATGTAAAAATCTAGTCATAATAAATAATGTTCTAGATTTACTTATATGCATATCCAACTATAGAGTTTTATTATGACAAAACAGTTACGTAGTAAAATGAATAGATAAGACAAAACGACATTATTTCATACCAAATCTCTATAAAATCAGTACAAAAGATAACTACAAATTAACAAACCTTTCATAGTACGGAATGAACGATGTTTATAAACAACATTTATGTTGTTGTACGCAGGTATTCGAGTATGACGTGCGTGTTTAATTGTTTACAGGACAATCAGAGCAGCAATGGCACGTTCATCAATAACAACCGGTGCTCTATATCGAAGGAGCAAGAACCGCACGAGGTGTTCTCCGGTGACGTGGTGCAGTTTGGAATACCGGTCGTGGAGAATGCTGGCAATTCTGAGAAGGTGAGGAAGTGATGATGAATATATACGTCGTACGGTGGCAAGTAGTGGGCTGTCTTTAGTTAGTGCAAGCTGTGTTTGAATGGTGACTTGCGGAAGAGTTCGTTGGCTTGATTGTGATGTGTGATGGTCATTTCATTACGGAAGAATGAACCGCCGGATCCCGTCAAGAATGTTGTGTTGTTGGTTCTTATTGCAGTGCGTCTAAAATATTTTGAACTTGAACTATTTGTTACGCGTATAACTAATGTTAGGAGTGAATTGTGATGGTTTTTTTGGATGTCGTATTTATTATTTAGAGCAATACAACTTGTGAGCAAAACATATTTGGAGATGGTGAAATTTCATATAAATAGTATTTCGTAGTATGGATTTTGGAACTGTACCGATGAATGGCTCGTGTGGACTCGTCTTTTAACTCTGTTGAGTAGTAATTAATAACATTAATATTTGGGGAAAAGAGCACATACCATTGATATGTCTACCGCTTCAAGGCATTATGTCTTGCGTATTATACGTACTGGTGTTACATCTATGTACCCTGCTGAACAACAGTCCAGGCACCAGTGTTCGCAATGACCACAGACGTGCATCAATTGTTGTATAAATTATTGCGGTCGCTGCATATCGCCCGTCGCCACTCACTCAACTGTTCGCGTTAACTTTGACTGACACTGCTGGTAAAAATGGTATGTTTGTTATTTTTAGTATAAATAATTGTCTCTTTGTTGTTACTACCTCGTAAATGCAAAATATTTTGTAATAGGAATTTATTGTTTAGGAACTTTTCTTGATTTTTCTTATAATCTCGATGTCTGATTTAAAATAATGTGTGTTGGATAATTGCTTGTAAAATTCCAAGGTTCAATTTGTTTAGGATGTCTTAAGATTTGGTGAATGATGGAGATTGTTCTCTGCCTTTTTTTGAAGTAGTGTAGAGTTATTTATGGGTGGTTAGAACTTCACTGTCTTGATATTTCTGAATCTCCTCTATTTGTTACAGACTATTTGTTTTATTTATTTAAGATTTATCTTAAGACATGATCTGCGGTTTCATATTTGGTTTCTATAAATGTGCTTTTTTTCCAATCTACATTAAATAGGTATCTCACGTATTTCCCGTTCTGTAAAGTTTCGTAGCATATTAGCAAGTTGCCCAACCGGTTTCTAGATTGCTGATCTTAAATCAAGAATTCTGTAGCATCTTGTTGTGATTATAAATTAATTAGATGTTCCCGAGATCTTCGTCATCAATTAGTCCACTGACCAGTTTTAGGCCAAACTCATAATAATTTTTCTTAAGCTTGTATAGTCACGCACATGTAGTTTTAATTTCAAAATCTGGTAATACATGTATAGCAATCTTGTTATCAATACTTAACATTACTTTGAAGCAGAGGTCTTTGTGCAGCGATGAATATCTTCCGGGTGTTGATAATGATAAGAAAGAAAGAAAGAAGAAAGAAAAACATTTATTCGACACATGATGACTACTAATTTTTTTATACAATATCTTTGTAAGAAGTTTAATGTTTTATGTAATTTAAATCGACAGAATACGTTCCCGCCCGTGGTTGCTCTACTCAAGCTATACCATCCCGATGGAAAGGAGGCGAAACTATCATTCAACCCCACTATGACCACACCTCTCGACCTCAAAGAGTTGTATCAGTTAAACAATTTTGTACAGGTAATGTTTTATTGATTTTGTATTAAATTACTAATTAAGCATTGATAGAAATGGGACTACATTCGTTCCCCGCATTCACGTAGTCTGATATTGTATATTGAGATGCTGCTAAGTTCAATCACCCCTAATGGTCGTGTGTGTGGCACGTCAGGAGGCGATCCAGCGCGAGGCGTCGCTGGAGACGCGGCTGCGCACGCTGCGCGAGTGCGTGGAGCGCACGCGCGCGTCGGCGGCGGCGGCCTGGGACCTGTTCGTGGGCGAGCAGCGCCTGCTGCTGCGCGTGCACACGCTGGAGAGCGTGCTGGCCGTGGGCGCGCAGCCCTCCGCCGCGCAGCTGGCGCAGCTGCTGAGCGACAAGCGCAACTACCAGGAGGTGGCGCAGGAGTCGCTGCGCGCCGCGCACGAGCAGCGCCTGCAGCTCGAGGAGTCGCTGGAGCGCCGCAGTCGCGAGCTGGCCGCGCTGCACCAGCAGAACTACGCGCTCCGACTCACCGCCAACAACGCGCTCGCCGAGCTACAGGTACCGACTTCTCTCTACTGTAGCAAAACCAAAATCTTGCGTATATAGTGTTACTTTTACCGACTTCAAAAAAGATGGAGGTGCTATGTTCGAATGATTGTTTATTTTATATGTATGTTCACTGATTACTCCGCCCTTTTTATGTAGTTAAATTTTGGATTATTGGGTGTTTTCAGTGTATTTTTATATGTGAATAACGTAGTGTCGTCGTTGTCTTTGTAGAAGTTGGCAGCGCGGTGTGAGCGCAAGATGTGCGCGGCGCGACTGGCCATCGCCGCGGCGGAGGAGCGCGAGCTTGCAGTCCGCAACCATCTGCCACTCGCTGTAAGCTGCACATACTCGTATTCTCATTATACTAGGATGAGTGAGACAGTGAATTATTGGAACTTTAGTTTATTAGAGATCCAGTGGTGACTAGCTGTGTCACCTGACTGAGTAGTCTTCATTAATACGATGTTTAACTTTGTTATACATAAGCTCAAACTATAAAGTATTCCATTTCTGCACCCAGGTAGTTCTAGTGAGGCTTTTATACCAATAAGAATTATTAAGGGAGACCTATGTTCAGCAGTGGATAAATTGTAGCTGATATGATTAATGATGTTTTTAACTTTTATTATTGATATTACAGTACTCTGTACAAAACGGCGAGGCGAAGATGTTGGTGGTGAGCTCGGACAGTAACCGCGTGTCGGAGGCGACGCGCGCGGCCACGTTGGAGGACGCGGTCAGAGCACTGCCCGACTACATCAAGCTGCTACTGCCGCAGCATCTGCTCAACAAGGTACGTGCGCTGTGTTTATAACTAACGCAGCAAACGTGAACACTTCAATTTGGGGTCAGACACAGGCCACCAATGAATATTTGATTTCTATAGAACTCATTTGAAATCACTTACTTAAAGGAGATACAAAGATCTCCTTTCTCGAGTACTACACAGATGAAAGTGTTTACTTTCATCAGACAAACAATCACGGGTCAAAATGTCAATATGTTTATTTTGACATGGTTAAAGTTTGTACGCGAAGTATTTAAAAACTAATCTTTACATATTACCGACATAGGACACCATCCATTTTCAGTTTGTTTATTCACTTTCAATAACTACTGAATGGAGTTTGATGAGGTTTTCGACAGTTATCTACTAAAACTGCATGAATTTAAACACTAACGCTAAAGTACTCAAACGCTACCTCATTTTAAGTCGCTCTCAAATATAGTTCTGTCACTACCAATTCTTTATAAAATGACAGAGATGGCACGATATTTAAGTACAATTTAAAATTGTAAGCCTTTAGTATTCGGGCGTAAAATCTTCTTTAAAAAGTGATACGTACAAAGCTAGCTTATTTTCGAGGATATACTAAACGTTATCATTATTTTCAGGTCGGAATTAAAGCGATATCAGCCGAAGGAAAATCAGCGAAGGAGTTCGAATTAATATTAAAGACAAATAATATTTATAATACAGAGAGTAAAGGTAAGTTATTTAATTTTTTAGTCTAGAAACTAGTTAATACCCTATTAAATACTGGAAGATGGTAATTATTGAATTATGGTGTATGCAGGTGTATAGTACATTCTACTTACATTATACTTTCAACTATATTGTAACACCTGTGGTTGCTTCTATACTATAAAATTCGTCAACAATCATATGTCGAGGAATCATTGTGATTTACAACGTAAGCATGTGAACCAGAAGACGTGCACTACTGGGCATACCCAGTACAACAGGTAACATACGATAGGCTTACCCAAATGAATTATGCAATAACATTTCGCAAATAATTCTTAGTTAATTGCTGCGAAATTACTTCTGCCGTACTCGGAGACATTTAATGATTACTTGAACTAACGGGCTCCGGCTTGACGTGCAGGAGAAGGAACGGAATGGTTTTTAGTCAGTAAGAGACTGACACTCCCTCCCGTCTTACCCAGGCGGGAGCAGGAACCCGATGATTCTCCCCCCTTAAAAAGAAATTCCTTAGTAACGATTTTTTTCCGAAAACAATTGCTAAAGACTGAGTTAAGTAACTATTAAATGACTCTTGAGTACGGCGGTTAGTCCTTTTTCATATGAAAGTTAATCATGATTTTAATCAGTCAATGTAAAAGAAATATTCTGTAGTTGTTAATAAAGATCATTGTTTATTTTTATTACAGAAAAACAGAATAACGAAGAGGGCGGTGTTAGTGGGAGCGGCGAGGATAAAACTGGCGAGCCTGACTCGTGTACTGATGATGAAAAACAGTCGCGGCTCAACCACGGTAATCATTGCTTATTAGGAGCGTCGTATAACGTAATATGTTTGCTTGTTATGACATGGGACTGAACAAATGGCACAAAAAGAGAATTATCAACATAGTCAAGATAATAAATACATCCTACATGTTTACTTAAAAAAGACTTTTTCCTCCCATATAACACTAGCTATTGCTTCTGCCCATGTTGTTGCTTCTCCTATTGCGTGATGATTTATACTATGTTAATTCATAATATGATTTCTATGTTGCGTATTGATTTATAACCTTCCTTGACAACTGGATAGTAGTTCCAGATTAGCATTAGCAGATTCAACCAACCCACCAAACGAATATCCAAATATTTTTTTTTAGCTTTTACGATAGGTGTTTGTACAGGAGTTTAAGTAATACAACATTGGTTGCAGACCCAGGCCACGAGGAGAGTCCGAGTCCGCTGGACGGTGAGCTGCACGCGGACAACAACGCCAACTCCACATACAGTGAACCCAGCACTAGAGAAGAATCACCTGTGAGTAGCTTTTTATTAAGAACTAGCAGCCCGGCAAACTTCGTTCCGCCTAATAAAAATATTTTCTCACCTATTAGACTTCCATAAACATAATTAGCCAATTGGTACAGCCATTCTCGAGTTTTAGTGAGACTAACGAAAGGAATTTTTTTTTATCTGTTTTTTATTTAAGGGATTTTTATCTTTGATATGCCAACCCCATCATACCTTTTAACAAAATGTGACCTATCAAATACATACAAATTTTTTTGCTTACAATAAAAAAAAGAAAGGAAATTGAGTTACTCATAGGTACTTGATGACTATGAGTAACTCAATTTCCTTTCTTTTTATTGTAAACGAACGGAAATTCATTTTTATTTATATAGATAAGAATTTCTAGGCAAGGCAAGGCAAGGGGTCTCGGGTTCGATTCCCGGGTTGGGCAAAGTATTACTGGGTTTTTAAATATTCTCAGTAGTAGCACGGAGTTTGGAATTGTGCCCGGTATATGGCAATAGGCTCACCCCCTATTACATGGGACTCATAACATAAATAGTGAAAAGTGGGTGTTACACTGTACAGTGGTATAATGTGCACCTCTGCCTACTCCTTCGGGGATAACGGGCGTGATGTTATGTTATGTTAAAAAAGAATTTTTATTTCTCAATAACGGGTCAAATATAGGTATGGTATACTTGGCTGTTCCTTGGCATGACAGGTATCATGTAACAACTGTGGTAAACTATTGAATAAACAGAAATCGCAATCACAATTGTAGGGTACGTAAACCAAAAAATACATATTTTTAAGCAACTTAAAAAAATAAGCAGGTTCTCAGTTGGACCTGTATGTATGTTTGTTTGTGCCCGATTTTTTCGCGATTCACTGAACCGATTTTGATGGGGTTTTTTAGAAAAGTGTGGGTTACACTAAGGAGAAGGTTTTAGTATATTAATTAACCGACTTCCAATAAAGAAGATGAGGTAAAAGTCGGTTTTTTGTACGTAGTTTTACTTTTTATTATAATACAACTTCCAAGCAAACATAAACAGTGACATTCTGTAGTAGTTAGTGCTTTGTATATACATAATGTTCACTGTGTGGGGACGGGAGAGTAGAATGGATTATCACTCCCACTGTCTTCCTGCGGGATTCGTAAGAGCCGATGAAGGTAATACTTGTTAAAAGAGACCACGCAGCAGCACTCTCCGAATTTTAAGGTGTGATCTCTACCTCTCCTGCCAAGCTAAGGTGAACCTCTCTTTTGTGGTAAAACCATATTCCAGAAGTGAAATCTTATGGATTGTTCATGTATGCTAATAATGTTGCACCAACTGCATTTACAACAGTAACCTATAAAAATTGTTTCATTCGGGAATAGAACCCGTCATGCCCGATAACAGGTGCGATTACCTGTGCGACCAATATCCAGTCATTGTTTTATACAGAGTGTAAACGGAAAGTTTTATTTTCATAAAAGTAAAGAATTTAATGTTTCTTTTGTGTAATAATAGTTGTAGTCAACTGCTCAAGGCTGGTGTTGTTGCATGAGTAACACGAAAACAAAAACGATTAAAAATTGTGAAAACAATTTCTCAGCGTTTCGGGAGTGTTCCCTCTAGTGGCTGTATGTGACAGAATGCACACATTTGCATAGATATTTGACAAAAAGTGGATTTATAAGTGCATCTCTGTACGTCTCTTTTGGATAAATTTCAAATCAAATCAAATCATTTATTTACATAAAATGTAGGTGTTTACAAATAGGTTGTTACAGATTTATAATATAGTGGCCGTATACATTATTTGTATTGGCATGCAAAATATGGTAAAAAAGCTGTCAGATTCAATAATTGTGTCGCATATAGGAGACAATATGACACAGGCACTTAGGACACAATTAAGATACGGTGGATTGTTTGTAAGTTGTAAGATTTACACTATACTTATTAATATACATCTAGTATTTATTAGCTTACCTTAAATTTTTCGTCTTCGATAGTTATTTTATAACAGCTGTTCTAATATCATATATCTAATTACCTGCTAAAGTTGAAGTTAAAGTTCTCACGCACATACCCTTCACGCATAAGGACAAACAGCGTATACCAGTCAACGCCACTCCATATCAGGCACAGGCCGGCAAGAATTAGTTCGTTGTAAAAACTATTAATTATTGTACTTGCTTTGCACTTGTTTGGGACCGGGTTCGACCTCGGAATGTTTGTGTGAATCATCGTTTCAGACTCAAAAGGCCGTCGATTCGAATGTAAATCTCTATATACGATAGCTACCCTTATCTTCTTCTGAACTTTATTACCAAACGATAAGGTTGAAAATGTAATAAATAAATTTGTTAGAATGGTTTAGCTTGATGAGCTGGCGTTGTTACGTTTTGATGTCGCTGTCACGAATCTTCGAGAAATCTTTTTACAGCTTTTTGTCATTTTTTGTACCTGTTTGTTCATAGTCTGAGTACAGAACAGAACACAGATATGTATTAGTTTTATTGTAAATGTGAGTAAAATGTAATTGAAACTTTGCCATGCCATATTACTTTCTTAACGTATTTTCGTATACATTTTTCTACATTTTTAATAACTTCTGTAGCTGCAATAAAATGTATAAACAGAAAAACTAAATTATGTCGCTTGGGAAGAAAAGTCATTACCTACTTTATCTTTATGTCGTATTTTTAACTTGTCAGTTGACTCATCACAGTAGTGATGTATAATTCTTTGTTATAATATCTTATATTTAATAAATAATGTAGGTAAATAATCGTAATGCTCTGTATAATACAGTAGCGTTGCAAGGGTGGTGCAGGAGGCGAGCGTATCATTACGTATGTTAATGCACAATTTCACGGCGCGGTAGTTCGTAGTCGTACGATGCTCTTTGTTCTTTATTGCAGAGCGTGAGTCAGTGGGCGGGGCCAGCCGCATCCCGCCCACTGCTCCGTCCCGCATACGTCGCTCCCCCCTGTTACTTGGTCGCTAGGAAATGATCTTAACACGTCATTAAGGTGGATTTTGCATGGACGATCTTCTGATCAGTGCAATGACTCAAATTGTGAAGTAGAAATAATAATAAATCTGATTACAGAAATTATGATGGTTAATTGTCTGTAACGTTCATTGTTAATTTAAGTTGCAGTTTTATATGATGCACATTGTAACTGCCATTTTTTTGTGATTTGAACTGTCTTTTTCATTATTAAAATCGTGTGTTTCTTCTTCCCTACACTACTTTAAGAAACAATATATAAAGGGATAAATGAAACAAAACAAATAAGCAAATAAAATCATATATTTGTGTACAGAGTAAAGCGGGAGTGGAGTATGCGAACATTTTGCGCGTGATGGCGGGTCTGAACGAGGAGATCAAAGTGCTGCGCGAGCGTCTGAGCGCCGCCGCCGCCGACAACGAGCAGCTGCGGGCCGCGCGCGACGAGCTGCTCGCCGCGCAGCCAGACCACGACGCGCACGACTCGCCGCCGCTCGACGCAGACGACGCCGCCACGTACCGCGCGCGCATCGCCGACCTGCAGGTAACACACGAATCATCCATCATTGTCATCATCAGCTAACAACTGCTTCAATGATTGGTTACGAAGAGAACTGAATTATCGGAGTAGGGTACAGTATTTTTACGACTCCTTAATTAACACCCACTTTCAACAACATTACTTTTATAATTTTTCTTTATTATTCTAGGCTCAACTCACTCGTTCGACTGTGGCAGAGGAGTCCAACCTTTCCGAGATTCAGCGACTAGCGTCGAGTGTCGCCGAGATGCAAGCCGAGCTAGCGTTCCGGCCGACACGCGCCGACATCGACGACCTCACCGCCGTCGTGGGCAAACTGCGTGCCGAGCTACTGGCGCGGGACCAACAGATAGAGAGGCTGCGCACCTCCACCATGCGCGAGCGTGCCGTCGCTGACAAGGCCGTGGAGACCGACGCACCGCTCGACGACCCGCGCGACAGCCAAGAAACGGCCGAGCGGTCCATCGACGCCGGCAAGATCTCCGCAGAGATTGACGAGATGTTCCGCCTCGACTACGATGACGACGAGGAGGAGACCGACTCCGCGGTTACTGAGATCAACCGCGACGAGGAGGAGGCGGCCTCAGAGGAAACTGAGGGAGCGGAGGACGCGGCCGGAGGCGAGGGCGGCGCGGGGGGGCCGGGGTATGTGCGCGTGCACGACGGCCAGCGCCTGCGCGACGCGCTGCACAACGGCTCGCTGCTGGCGCTGGAGGACGAGCTGGTGCGCGCCAAGGAGCGCTGGGCCGAGGCGTGCGGCGAGCGCGCGCGACTGGCGGCGGCGCTGGCGGCGCTGCAGAGCAAGCCGGCACTGCCCGCGCTGTCGCTGCGGCACGTGTTGGCGCTGGCGGTGCCGCTGCTGGCCGCAGCGCTGTACTTCGTGTTGCTGCCGCGCGCGTCCTGATGGACGGCCACGTGGGACCCGCCCGGGTACGCCTAGCGCCGGCCGACCGAGCGCGCCGCCCGGGGCGAGGCCCGTCGGTACCTCGTTTTGAATACTACGAATATTATAAACGCCGCTTCTTGTTTGCGATCGCCGGCCGGGGGTTTCGGTATATTTATGGATTAGAGTAATTAGAGTTTATAAATTGATATAACGATAGAGTCAGTTTATTGTGCGCCCTCGGCCCGCGGCAGTCGACGGAGTAGAAGGGACGGTAGCGGGAGCTTGAATGAAGTGCCATTTGCTAGCGAGGAGGCGTGATCGCGCCGCGAGGGTCGGTGCACGTTGTTATCGCATGAGTGTATATAACTTAGTATTGTTTCTGTAAAAAGTGTCAGTATCGTATCGATATAGTATAAATTGATTGTTGATATCTGCCATAATAAATAACTGTACATTTTAAATTTTAAGGCCTAACGACTGTCCTAAGTTATAGTAATTATTGTTGTATTGTATGAGAACTATCGAAATTCTCAGCCGAGCGACATTTGGTGACTACTCGAATCAGCTGATTTCCCTTGTTGAATATTTTAGGTATAATTGATAGTGTGTTCATCTTTTTATTACGGTCTACTGGTGGGCACGGACGGCATCACGGACTCGCGGCCGCAGCAGAGCTATCTCACATTGTCTCATCGCTTCGGGAGCTAAACATATCATTGTTAGGTACACGGTGTGGGCATTTATTCGTCGACAAACAAAGACGTCCGGTTACTTTGAATGGTTTGCATTTTTCTAGTCTTTAGAATCGACGTAGAGTTGATTGCATGACGTTTTTTACATTTTATAGAGCTTATTTACAAAGTTTTGTCTCCTATATGATCCTTCGTCTGTTGTGGACGCATTTACGCGCAGCTCTGGTGTATTGCAGGTTTTGACAATATTACGCAGCAGGGATGCATTTTGGTTTAGAGTCACGGGATCAAGTGGACCCCGTGCATGTCAAAGTTTTGTTTCGGTTTTAATGTTGTCGTGCCACTATTAGTTTGTTGGGCGTTAATTTGAGTTGTGCGCGAGGGAGCATGTTATTATTTAGTTGAGACACATCTCAGCCGGTTCACGTTACGGTCGACCCTCGAGATCGCTTAGCTCTGTGATGTGAGGCCAATAGATAATTTTGTAACAAACTCGTGTAACTAACGATTGAATATATCCTTAGAATTATTATAACTACCACGTTGAAGTCCACTGTCTAAATATTTATTATTTTATTGTTGCACTGATTTTTGTTATGTTCAATGTTTTATTTTGTGTTTAAACCACCTTATTGTAAATAAATTATATCTTATACTCGTTCTTATGTTTAGTTCATGCTGTCGAAGACTTTATGTTGTATTTTATTGAGTAAAATTAATATACATTCAAAGTGGATGTACTGATAAATTTATTGGAAATAATATTGATTTGTTTAAACCTTTGTTTTATTTTCTGCCTGAACTTATAAACTGAAATGGATACTTGATTGACGTCATGATATGCATTGAATTGAATAGTTTAGTTCATAAACAAATGTTTTTGGGGAAATCTAGCTAGTTTACGCAGTTATGACGCAGTTGCGAATTAAAGGCTGACTAACAAGACACGCCACTCGGCGGTACGACACGCATCTATTTATATCTCATACAAGAGCTGCGTTGATTTTGTAGTTTATTTGTTAACTGCCGTAAGTATACAGAACTGGTTATAACATTGACGAGTATACTGATTATTTATAAGAATTAAATAAACTCTGATAACTTGCGAACGTTACAACAGTACGTAGGGACCAAAAGAGGGTAGGTAGAGTAGTAGGTCCACATTATTGTTCGACTTTGAAAAACTACACGATTGGCACTGGGCGAGCAACTGACTACTGCAAAATGTGTCGCGGGTTCGATTCCCGTACGGATCACGGAACAATCAATTCTGATAAAGGTCTCTCGTTTTCTAGAGATATTATATTCAGTATAATTTGGGCCTCCAGAGCAACCCTAAACACTCCATGAATAGCCATTCGCATGGATAGGAATTTCCTTCAATACCTAATCTAATTATTCTTCTTCAAGATCAGTTCTATCCTATCATCGTAAGTTATTGTATCTATTGGTCAAGGTATGTTTGAGATTTAATAAATGGGCCCATTCTAAGCAAATGTCACTACCGCACTGTACCTCAATAGCAAACATTTTATGCGGACTTTGATAGAGATGAGACGGTGAACGTTACATTAGTCATCAAATCATTTCAAAATTTAAATCAGCCTACTAACAGTCTTTAATGTTAGGTATTCATTTTCTGAAAACATCTACTAATAGGCATAGGACAAATTTTGTCAGCAATGATGCCTACAAATGATTATACCAAAATTAAATGAACATTTTTAATAAAATAAGTTTAACCTTAATAAAGTGGGTTATCTAAAAACCTGCTCCTAAATATAACTCACACTTTTTCTGAAAACCACACCAAAATCGGTTCAGCTAATGGTGATTAGCTGAACCGATTTTGTATTTTACGAAATTCGGAAAAATATTTTTGCAAACATATTGTTAAAACAAAAATATTTTTCCGAATTTCAACACATTCCAATAGGCAAATAGGCTAAGAACGTCGCTGCGACCGCGCAAGCTGCTCATGAGGAAGAGTCCCTCTGTAATGCGAAACTAGTAGAGGTTTTCGTAATATATTTACGTGAGTACATAGTTAATTCAGGCAAGCTGCTACGTAAAATATAAACTTAGCTTGACACTATATTTACACACCCTATCCTATTGTTGTTTAAATGCGTAAGTTTGTAAGGATGATTGAATTTTGAATGTATTTTTTAATTCACGCAAAAACTACTGAACGAATCTGAATGAAAATTGGCACAGATAAATTGCAGTCTGGACCTGGAATCAAATAACACATAGGCTAAGAGTTTTCGGTTATCTAATACGTGCGAGGCCCGGTGGTAGAAACGATATAATACATGCTTTTGTCCTGTTGGGATAGGGTAGACAGAATCCGCAGAGCGCCACCTAGTACGATTCATACATACTTTTTTAGTTTACAACGCATTAATCACCGAGAAGCAATGACTCTTTGACTGTCGTCAGAAAACTGTTGAAAGCAAGTTGTCCGGTTTAATTATATAATCTCTAGATGGAGAGTCACTTCACGAAAAGCGGCACAAAATTTTGCAGTGAACTGTGGAATGCAATGCACTTTCCCGTCAAGTAGTACCAATTGTGACACCTAGGCGTTTCACTACGTGCTGCATGCACGCTATAAAATTTTGTAAACAAAAAATACACTGCCAAGATGGCCACGTGCTCCATAAAATTGTGCTAAAATTATAAATGACGGTTAAAAAGTATATACACAGATCACATATCCATCGCTAAGTAATTAAAAATTACATTATTCAATTTATGTTTTTGACCTAACTAATTGCCGCCATAAAATCAGTGTCGCCAATTTATTTCTCAATATTCCCTTCTCAGGCTTCTCATGAGTTTCGATTTTCGACAGCTATTTTGAAATGATTAAATCGGTTTAGTTATATTTTTTGATGAAAAGGGTGCAACTGCAATAATATTTATAAATTAGTTTTATAGAAATATATATTTTTTTCTATAAAACGTTACCCCACATTAGGATTTTCTCCTGTGTCGTGGGTGCGTTAACAAACATACAAGTTCACATACACAATGACACCCAGACCCGAAACGACAATTTGTTGATCACACAAAGTGCAGCCAACAGTGCAGTACAGCATAATGTCAAAAATGTCTTAATATGAATATTTAATTATTCCTTTCGAAGTGTCCAATAAAAAAACTTTAAAATCAAATTTAAAGAGATGGTTACAATTTTTTTTTATTTTACTTCTGAATTGTCTGGTGCATGTACACCCAAATATTAATGGGAGATTTTTTGTCGTAGCTGGTTTCATTTTTGCTCCGTGTAAACCACAAGCCGCACGCACACATACAAGAAATTTTGGAACGTCATTTTTGTTGCTATTGTATGGTGACGCTCTATCTAAGTAGACATAATATAATCAAAGTTCATCCGCTATCGTGGTCCATATTTTATGTTGTTCCCCATGGCGTGTAATGTGTAAATGTGTTATACTATCTCTACTACATACGTCCTGCATACGGTTTTCTAGGGTGGCTACTGGCGCTACGATCTCGATGTTATACCAATTATTAACACAGGTTTCTAATTATTGCGACTTCGTCCATCTAGGATGGATAACCTGCTCTCAAGGGGCTCCGTTACTCTTGAATCCAATTCCGATCGATCGACATTGGTATTATGTTTCGTAGTCTTGAGTTGTAACACTGGCCCTCATTGCATCCGTATTGTGTGGATATTTAATGAAATAAATGATATTGAGTTTGGCTTTATATATTGTACTCTGAATGCTATTTTAACATCGAACACGATAAAGGGTTGTAAAGTGTTGTAAATGAATAATTATTGAGATTTTATTGGATTGAAATTGCAATGACATTGAGATTGGTTTCAAGAGTTAGCACCCTGGTCTCAGGTTATAGTTTGATTATAGTTTATTTACTAGAGACAAATACTTGAGTATTTGTCAAATAATGATAATATAAAAACAAGTAAGCAGGTCAACAAGTTACTAGCACAAATCAACACGTATGTTGTACTAAATCGAGATAATCTTTGCCATAAATAGCACAGTAGATAAATACATTGCGTTCTCAGAAAACGATAGAATATCAAAGTTACTTAGACTAGGTAGTAAGCAACCAGATTGTTATAAGTACTTCTTTACAAAATAAGTAAATAACATCTTACATAGGAAGGAATCGATTATGAAACTGGAAGTACCTACCTATATCTTTGTCTGATGCGTGCGGGAAAATGAACGTATTAAATTGGCCAAATAAATAAAATTATGCAAAATGGAATTTCAAGCTGTCTATTGATCTACAATTACCTATTACAAAGATTAGATAAGATAT